CATCTATTATGTTCCATGATATGCAAAATTGCTACTATAAAGCATTCCACCACCAACTTGCTTCTAGTGCTAAAACAATGCCCAATCACAATATGACTTTAATTTGTAAATCCAAGCAAGGTGTGAACATTTTCCAGGAGCATGTTACCCTGCCTCCTACACGAGATAAATGCACTAACCCATCTTTAAAAGAGTCCTAGTTTTACTATAGAGACTAGAGAAATGCCACAAACCTCTTCCAGATCTAGTATTGAAGATGAAATGTGTGCATCTCTTATACATGCAACATTGAATTGCTTTTGTTGACCACTGGCCTTAATCATAGTGGTAATATCTGCCACCAGATCCTAAAATGTTCCCTTCCTAATCATCTTCAAAGAGAGACATTATAAATAGTCTTCCAGAAAGAATTTAAAAAGCTAAAACCTTTTTCAAATAACAATCATGTTTTAATTGCTTATATAGCAATCAAAAAGTGATTGTATGCATAATATTTTTTCATGCAACTCATGAAAATAAAAAATTACACATATATAAATATATAATGCTCTCATGCACAATCACATTTATCGCCAAATTGTACACATACTTATTCTTAGTATTTTCTTTTTTTACTTTTATTTTGGTCTGGGCCCAAAATACCTATTTAACATTTCTTCTTTTTTTATCATTATATTTTGTCTTGCCCAGTTTTTCAGGTTTTTGTAAGTCATTTTATAAAGTTAAATAGCATTTAAAAGTACAAAATTAATTTTCTAATTAGGATTCTTATATTCACACAGAAGGAGAGATTTATTTTATTAATATACTATGTACAGAATATCAGATAACCATTCTCATTATGTCCAAGGGAAATGCTGTAGGAATATATTGGCCTGTGCTGTTTAAGCAACTTCCCAAAGCATCTAGAAAGTATTGATGTCTTCCAAAATTCTGTACCCAAAACAAGCTCACCATTATCATTTCCAAGCTTTGAACCCAGAGGCAAATTAGACCTCAACCATTTAGATGGTGAACAAAATGGCCATAAAACACCAATAAAATTGACTGTGGAATCATTATACAATCTAGAGAACATATTGCAATCCTGTAAAAAAAAAATGGAAAAACGAAAAATAAAAACATAGTGCCTGATCAAATACCTCAAGTGAAGTTAATAAAGTGAAAACCAAAATTAACTCATTTAATACTTTCACATCCACACTCAAGCTGAGCGCAAACACTAAATTTATACCATGAAAGGTCAGATTCCTAGTTTAAAGAAGAAACAAGCTTTTCTCGATCATGTGCAAGGCACTAAGTATGAACAAGCAGTGTGGTCTCCGCTACCCTTTTTTGTTGTTTTAAATCTTCCCATGACAGACAATGCATTTCTTTCTTATCAAATCTCCACCGTCCATTTTCGCTCCACCAGCTTATCTCCCATCTCTGGCTATGGCGGGACTGGCCGCGAATTCCCCCACATTGTTTCGGCCCGCGCATTGGAGCCCGGGCCGGAAGCAATGTCAATCACGGCACGCATTGCAGGGAAATCTGCGAATTGTGGCTTGCTCTGGCCAATCGGAATCACCAAGCAGGCTCGCAGTGGCTCGCGATCAGGACATTGGTGATCCAAAGACCGATGGAGGGATTGCAGAGCCGGATGTCGAGAATGCGAGCAATCCAGCGGAGGAAGTGAGCAATGCCAAGCTAGAGAGAGGGCCATCGGTGGAGGAGGCCAAGATCATGGCCAGGAACCGCGGCCAGGTGGAGGCATTCAGCGCGCCATACAGGACGAAGCGATGGGTGCTGACGCGGGGCAAGGGCGCGGCGATCGGGGACCTGATGATCATGTACGGCGGGCTGCTGGACAGAGGATTCGGCAGCGGACAGATCATCGCGGCATCGGGCGCGGTGGTGATCGCCAAGGTGAGGAAGGACGCCAAGAAGCTCATGGGCGAGGAGGGCGTGCGGGATCTCGACGTCCTGGAGCTGCTACGCGCAATGGAGCTGCTCGAGGCGGAGCTAAAGCTGGTCAAGGCCGCGAACAAGGGCGAGGCGCTGTTCCAGCGGCTGGAGGAGGCCAAGAAGCACTGCAAGGTCGCCTTCGCCATCGCCAACCGGATCTAAGATCTTTGCCGTACGACGTTGTCTAATTCCGTACCGGAGATTACTATGCTCTGTATCTAGTTTTCTAGGGAAGCGGAGGACGCAATGGCGCAGAATGGAGGAGGCGCGCCTGCGAAAGCGGCGGCAGCAACGTAAATCCCGCTGGCTTCTGGTACACACACACACTCACACACACACACAATGGTCTCAATCTAACGAATTCCCCGATCCAATTCGCTCGCTCGCTCCCTCTTCTTGATCTCCCCCTCCAGATTGATCGCGCAGCAACCATGAAATTGGGATCGCCCCCCGCCTTCCTCCTCAACGCCGCCGCTGTCTACGGCACCGCCGCCGGCTACTGCCTCTCGGCGTCGCTCCTCTCCATCATCAACAAGTGGGCGGTGATGCGCTTCCCCTTCCCGGGCTCGCTCACCGCGCTCCAGTACGCCACCAGCGCGCTTGCCGTCTTCCTCCTCGGCCCCGGCGGCGCGGGACTGCTCGACCACGACCCCCTCCGCGCCGCCACGCTTCTCCGCTTCATCCCCGCCGCGCTCTGCTACTACATGTCCCTCTTCACCAACAGCGAGCTCCTCCTCCACGCCAACGTTGACACATTCATTGTGTTTCGCTCCGCCGTGCCGCTGCTGGTGGCCGTGGGCGACACGGTCTTCCTCCGCCAGCCCTGGCCGCTCCCAAGAACCTGGGCGGCGCTGGCGCTCATCCTGGGCGGCGCCGCCGCGTACGTGACCACGGACTCCCACTTCGAGCTCCACGCGTACGGATGGGCCATGGCCTATTTGGCCAGCATGGCCGTCGACTTTGTGTATATCAAGCATGTGGTCATGACCGTGGGGCTGGGTACGTGGGGCCTCGTGCTCTACAATAATTTTGAGGCCCTGCTGCTATACCCGGTGGAGCTGCTAGTCACTGGCGAGGGGAGCGCGGCAGTGGCGTCGTTTCGTGGTGGGGCGGTGGTGGCGGGCGTGGCGGCGGTGGAGTGGCGCTCCTTGGGCACCTGGCTGCCCGTGGTGCTGTCGTGCGCGTTTGGGCTGTCGATTTCGTTCTTTGGGTTTGCCTGCCGGAAGAATATCTCCGCGACGAGCTTCACGGTGCTCGGGGTGGTGAACAAGCTGCTCACGGTGGCGATAAATCTGGTGGTGTGGGACAGGCACGCGTCGCTGGCGGGGACGATCGCGCTGCTCACCTGCATTGGCGGGGGGATCGCGTACCAGCAGTCGCTGGAGAAGCGCCCGGCACCGCTGGACGATCAGGATCCAGAGGAGGAGGAGACTGACACGGATCAAGAGGAGAAGAAACCGTTGAATCAAAATTCTTTGGATGTAGAGCTAGGAGAGACAAGGAGCACGATTGATCAGAGTGACAAATGATCGACTCGAGATAACGAACATTTTTTTAAAATAATCGCTCCCGCCTATTTGCTTTATTTGTTCGGTCTTTGTTTTCTTGGTGAGGATTTTAGGCTGGCCGGCTCCCGGAGAGAACTCGATGTATTTGATTGTGACATTGCCAATCATGGCAGAGGTCATGCATGATTGATTGTGACATTGTTTGGAACGATTGGATTCAAAGGTGATCATGGTAGAGATCACGCTTGAGATGGATGATAATCGAGGATTTCCTGCCCTAGACACGTGGCGGGTTCTCGTTCGTTCTCTATGGCTATCACATTGCCTTGCATTCCCGCCTCGTATGGAGGAGGTTTTCACAGGCATTGTGCTAGGGTTCTTCCCGGCGGAAGGGCGCGCTCATGCGTCCGTGCTGCCGCGGCGGCGGGGGATGGCGAGGGTGCTGTGGCATCGGCGAATGTGAATGATGTGAATGATCTTGTTGCATCGCTCGGTGATGCGATCTCGTCGGTAAGCAAAGCGCTTGGATGTGTTGGTTAAGCCTAGAGATTTACAATGCAGAAGGATGCCGACAGCGTGAGATTGGCGCTGGACAAGCTGAGCGAGGCGGGATGGGCAAAGCAGTGGAAATCTCAGCCCAATGTTTCTCGTCGAAATGTAAAAGACAATTTTTGCTTCTTTATCGACTCTTCGGTTTTTTCAGACGTACTTGCGCGAGCTAACTTCGCTGGGACTGAAAAACGCGGAGAATCTCGCTATTCCGAGTGTCCGAAACGATGTGAGTTACTCTCACTGTTACTTTGGGTTTTTTCCTGTGAGCTGAAGTTGATGCTCTTGCAGCTCGCGTTCTTGGTGACGGTTGTAGGAACAACGAGCTTTCTTGCAGTTATAGCGGGCCAGCTCCCCGGAGTACATGATCTATCTAGCTAGTTAATTCTCTTTCATTGTGACAAAGTTTGACAGGATTGGGGATTCTTCGTTCCTTATCTGCTGGGAGGAATCTCACTAGCAGTTCTGGCCATCGGAAGCACAGCACCGGGGTATTTAATTTTCAACCCAGGAGAAAGCTTCTCACTGAGTTTCTTACAGCTGATTTCTCAGGCTTTTGCAAGCTGCTATCAACAGCTTCTCATCGGTGTTTCCAGATTACCAAGAGCGGCTTCTTCGTCATGAAGCGGCTCATTTCCTCAGTAAGTAGAAACATGAACTCTGCAAGAACTGTATACGCTGATGTTTCTTCCAGTTGCTTATCTGGTCGGCCTTCCTGTTCTGGGATACTCTTTAGACATCGGCAAAGAGCATGTCAACTTGGTCGATGAAAAGCTACAGAAGAAAATTTACGAAGGGTTTCTCGACGGCAACGAACTTGACAGGTATCTGAACTCGAACTCCTTTCTTTCTTTTGAAGTTTCTTTCTATTGTATCAGGCTGGCTGTCGTTTCAATGGCTGGGCTTGCTGCCGAGGCTCTAAAATATGACAAAGTTATTGGCCAGTCTGCCGATTTATTCTCCCTTCAGGTTGATTACATTAAAAGGTTTTTCGCAACCTTATGCTTTCTGAATGCAGAGGCTCATTAACAGATCCAAACCCAAACTCAGTAACGAACAACAGCAAAATCTCACTCGATGGGCTGTAAGAAGCTATAATATTTTACATACATTCATGTTCTCTCGGACTTTGTTTTGCATCAGGTTCTCTATGCCGGATCACTTGTAAAGAACAAAAGCAAGGCGTTTGATTCTCTCATGGCTGCAATGGAGAGAAATGCCAGTGTTTCAGAATGTATAGAAGCAATTGAAATGCAGTAGATTTAGCTGTTGCACCCACCTATTGTTAATTCCGTTGCCGGGAATTGAACCCGGGTCTTTCGGGTGAGAGCCGAATATCCTGACCGGCTAGACTACAACGGATGAACATGTAATTAGAAAATTTGAACTACTTAATAATTAATCACGTAGAATATGCCAGGAATTTAAAACAAATGTTTGCTTATGAACTTCGGGATTACCGCTTTTTTAGGATCCTTGTTTCCTCCGGCCGCGGATCTCCTCCAGCTCCCTCAGCTCCTCGCGCATTCCAGCCGCGGCGTAGATGTTGATCATCAGCAGCAGCGCCGTCTCCTCCTTGTCGCCGATGTCCTCCATCCCCAGCAGCGCATCCAGCGCTAGGCGGCCCACGGGGGCATTGGACCACTTCTGGCAGGCACCCAGCACGGTCATCCAGGTAATTGCGCTTGGCCGGAAGGGCATCGAGGTGATCATCTCCAATGCGGCGGCCAGCTCGTTGGCCCGGCCAAGGAGATCGATCATGCAGTGGTAGTGCTCGATGGATGGGGTCACAGGCGAATCCAGCATCGCCTGGAAATATTTCTTGCCCAGGGACACATTGCCGCCGTGGCTGCAAGCTGCAAGAACACAAACCATGGTGATTCCATCCGGGTTGGGGCCCTCGCTGCTGGTCATTCTTTGGTAGAGATCCAAGACGCGTTCCACATCCCCTTGCCTGCCATAGCCGGTGACGAGGGCATTCCAGGTGATGATGCTGCTGGAAGAAGAAACGTCAAACAAGAGCTGGGCATTGAGAATCCTTCCAGCCTTTCCGTAGAGATCGACGAGGGAATTCGTTGCCACTGGATCGCTTTCAAGGCCGAACCTGGAGAGCTCGCCGTGGATCTGTCGGCCAAGCTCCACATCCAGCACGGAGCTACAGGATTTGAGAGCAGTCACGTACGCTCGAGCATTTGGGAACCATTCGTTCGCTTGCAGCTTGAGAGACGAGAAGAGCTCGAGGCTTAGCTGCGGCTGTGAGTTCTCGGTGTAGCCGAGTATCAGGGTGGTCCAGGAAACCATGTCTCTCGCCGCCATGGTGTCAAACACTCGCCGGGCATCGTCCATGGAGCCACAGTTGGAGTACATATCGATCGTGAGGTTGAAGACGAAGAGCTCCGATTCACTCATAGATCTAGTGGCCTGAGCGTGGATGTCATGGCCAATCTCTAGAGCTTTCAGCTTCACCACGGCCACCTTTCCAGCATCGATCTTGACTTCACTGCCTTGTTCCAACGCCGCCAACTTTGTGCACGCCTTGAGAGCAGCCATGAAAGTCCGGGCGTTTGGGAGGATTTGGAAGTGCCGCATCTGCGAGAAGAGTTCCAGTGTCAGCTGAGGCTCGTCATTCTCTGAGTAGCCGAGGATAAGCGACGTCCAGAGAACCACGTCCCGGGCTTGAGCTGGGATTTTATCGAAGGCCCTGCGCGAGTCCAGCAAGCTTCCACACTTGGCGTACATGTCAACGAGCGTGCTGGCTACGAACACGTCCGTGTCAAGACTGGCCTGCGAGTGGATCGCCATTCCTGCTTCCATCGCCTTCACTTTGACGAGCTTCCCGTCGACTTTCTGGCCTTCCTCTTTCACCGCGACGAGAGTGCAGGCCTTGAGAGCTGCGACAAAAGATCGAGAATCCGGTGCTATTCTATCGTCACTACCAGCCATCATCCGAGAGAACAAGTCAAGACCAAGCTCTCCCTCGTTATTCTCTGCGTAGCCGAGCAACAAGACGTTCCAGGACACCACGGTTCTACAAGGCATGCAGTCGAAGACCCTCCTGGCATCGACCAAGCTACCACACTTGGCGTACATGTCCACCAGCGTGTTGGCCACCATGATATCCGAGTCGCAGCGGCAGCTTACAGCTTGTGAGTGGATGCGTTTGCCCCTGGACAGCGATTCCAGCTTCACAATCCTTCCATCAAGTTCTTGATCCGGTTCCCTCGACGCAAGACCAATGCAGGCCTTGAGAGCAGCCACGAAGGTGAGGGAGTTGGCGATGGAGTAGGCCTCCTGGCCTTGCAAGTAGTCGAAGATTTCCAGAGCCAGCCTCTCGTCACCGTTTTCAACGTAGCCGAGCATGAGGGCTGTCCACAACACTACATCGTGCTGCGCGAAAGCATCGAAGACTCTCCGAGCGTCCAGCATGCTGCCACACTTGGAGTACATGTCGACCAAGGAGCTGGCAACGAACAAGTTACCGTCGAAGCCACTCCGTGTAGCTTTCAAGTGCAAGGCCATGCCGCAGCCAAGACACTTCACTTTGACGAGCCTGCTGTGGATCTCCTGGCCAGTGTCCTTCTCGGCAAGCTTGGTACATGCTTTGAGAACGGCCATGAAGCTTCTATCATCCGGAGAGAAGCCCTGAGCTTCCATGGACCAGAAAAGTTCCACAGCCAACTCTTCCGCGCCTCTCTCTGCGTAGCCGAGAATCAACGAGTTCCACGACACGACAGTCCGCCAAGCCATCCTGTCGAAGACCATCCGAGCATCGAGCAGGCTGCCACACTTGGAGTACATGTCGACGAGACTGTTCATGACGAAGCCAAGGAACTCACAGCCGGAAGTCACGGCTCGGGAGTGGATTTCCATGCCCCGTTCGAGGCTCCTGAACTTCACCACGACCTTGAGTATAGGCTGCTCGTCTTCCTTAGCCGCGACGCTGGTGCAAGCTTTGAGAGCGGCCACAAAGGTTCCCGGATCAGGTGGCAGGCTGTATTCGGACTCCATCTTCGAGAAGAGCTCGAGGGCGAGCTCTCCCTGGCCGCTGTCCGTGTAGCCGAGCATGAGGGCGTTCCAGGGGACAGCAGTGGCGTAGCAGCAGTCGAGAATGGAGTTGAAGACGAGGCGAGCCTCGGGAAGGCTCCCGCATCGCGAGAACATGCTGATGGCGGTGCTGGCCACGAAGACGTCCGTGTGGCTGCCATCTCGGATGGAAGCGGCGTGAATGAGCTTCCCGGCCTCGAGGTCTCGGGTACTGCTGCACGCCTTGAGCGCCGAGACCGTGACAAAGATACCGGGACTTTGAAGCGCTGCCTCGTCTTCCCTAGAGAACTGTCACTGTGATGGGTAGAAGGGTGGAAAGGATGGAGAAACACTCACGCGCTTTGCTGCTGCTCTCCAGCGATCCGAGACGATCTTCCGCATTACCTCGAGGGTTTGAAAGGTATTAAGTAAAAGAGAAATCTTGCATTCACAGAGAACCCAAATGTTTCAATAAGTTCCCAGCGTTCTCTTTGATTTGATGTCTCTTTCTGTTTTCTTTCTATACAGGCCAGGGTGGAGTTTTCATTGGAATTCTTTTCGAAGTCAGTGTTTAAAGTTCCCATTGATTCTGTTCGAGTCAATCTTCGTCTTTCCACTCCCAGAAACGCATTGAGATCTTGTCCGGGTTAAAGGAGTGAGATCGAGGGAATGAGGTTGAGTCACTGGGAGGATTTGCCCATAAGCTTGCCCGATTGGACGAACGTGAGCGATGAAGCCAGGGATCTCATTCTCCAGTTGCTGCACTTGGACGCGAGAAGGAGGCTGCCTATCCATGATGCTCAGGCCACTAGATCTCCGAACCTCACTATTGATATGTACCTGTGGCTCCACGGACGATGCCTGGCAAGTGTTTCCATGGCGGCGAGAGATACCACCCATAACAGGAATAGCACTGTCACCGCATTTTCTGAGTGGAGAGAAAATAAATTTTATCAAATTAATTTTTGGGAAAATGAAAAATGCAAATAATCTTCTATTGTTTGCTTGGAAAATTAAAATCATCAAACCTTGAATAGATAAAGCCTAATCACTAACACTAGAACATGCTGATAAGTTATATGCTACCGAAGTACAAGACTAAGAGGTGGCTATGGAAATTTTCTGGCCCATGGAAGCTCAGGGCTTCTCTCCAGATGATAGAAGCTTCATGGCCATTCTCAAAGTGTGTACCAAGCTTGCCAAGAAGGACACTGGCCAGGAGATCCACGAGTGTGGATTTCTCCCGCTGCTCCAGTCCTGGAGTGTGACCACCTCTGGACCTCGTCACTAGACTCGAAAGAAAACAGGCTGGAAAATGCCCTGCAGCTCTTCAAGCTGCTCAGCTCTGACGCAATGACTTACGCGACAATAGACGCTCTGCAACAGAGAGGATGCAAAGCTCTCAAGCTGCTAGGGGTTGATGGTAGCCTCATGCAAGAGCTCCTTCAATCCAGGTAGAGGCTTTTCACCTTTTTTCTTCCTCCACACTCATTCTATGTCACTTCTTCCACTTGGTTTTCACAGGCTGAGCATAAAAGGAGCACTTTGCACCTCCAGGATGACATGGTAAAGCTTTTCCTGACAACCACCATAGTGTTGCTAATTCCTTTAAGGAATGGAATACGAATGTTGACCAAGTATCAATTTGGATTGGAAAGTTTTACATGCTATATCCCAATACAATCATACACTAAAAAATCCTTAAACATTTTTTATTTTTATTTTTTTTAAAAAAAACCTACCTCTATCAATATTTTCCCCTCTATTAAAACCAAAAACACAAATCCAATAACTCCTCATACACAATTAGAGCTACCCCTTAATATGAGTGTATGGAAGACATATTCAATTAGCCCAAAAACTTAGTTTATATATAAAAATAATTGGTTTGTATTAAAATCAGTCCATATTTGTATACTTTCACACATCCATATTAAAATATATAAGATCATGAATTTTAGTTAATTTATTAGCATTGCATCAATGCTTGGTTTGCTTTTTTATGTAAATGTTATTTAGTTTTTGTATTATAGGTTTGTTTAAACAAACCAAAAAGTTAGCTAAGCAGTGAATTACAATCAACTATTTTCAAGTAATCATTAGTCATAAGCCATCACTTACAGCCACAACATGCTCTTTTAGCTAAAGAAAAGCCACAGAACTCTTATGGATTACTGATCAAACATGTGTAGATATCAATATCCTCAGGTTCCAAAGGCCAAACTTGATCATAGTGGTTTTCACACCATTTTAATCACCTAAAAAATATGGCAACAACCACTCTTTACTCTTTTGCATCACTAAAATACCAAGCTTGGCATTCATTCAGTCTAGTCTTGTTACCTTTAATTTTGGAGTTGAATTTAAGGCTGTAATAGTAACAGTGGAAACTCTTTAGAGGATTGTTCAATGGTTTCAATGTGACAAGTTAGACAAGTGAGTTACATGGTGCTTTCTTTCTTTTACCAAGTTCTGACCTTATCTTGCATCATAAAAAATACTAGTTATGTATTACAAGAATATTTGTGGTCGATAAGAAACTTAATGGTATTTGAGTTATCCAACTTCTTATAGAAGATGAGAAGGTATGGTGCTTTCTTTTTTTACCAAGTTATGACCTTATCTTGTATCATAAAAATTCGGGTAATGAATCACAAGAATATTTATGGTCTATAAGAAACTTAATGATGTTTGAGTTATCTATCCACCTTCTTATAAAAGATGAGAAGGAATGGTGCTTTCTTTCTTTAGTTCTTAAAAGATTCCATTTGTAACTAGTGTTTAATGTTTGTTTCAATACTATGAAGCCAGCATGGAGGCAAAAAATCACAGCTGCTAGATTAAGAAATATCCTAGAATACATTTTAAACTAGGTAACCCTTCATGGAGGAGGAGTGCAAGGGCAGCGGGCTTAAACTCCAATCCTATTAGATGGTATATGTCACATTTTCATTTATAGGGAAGATTACATGGTTTTTCCCAGTGTTTACGCCACCCTGGTTGTTGCCTGCCATATGCATGGAGTGTGGTGTGTTGGCATGTACACTAAAGACTTTCCTCCATGTTGATGTCAATGCACCACACTGGCATGGTAGGCAATTTGAACGAAGATGGGACATACATGTCATAATAGTGCATTTGGAGAGAATTGAGACACAGAGTTTTTATGGAACAAGATCAAAGTACTAGCATCCACCCCAGCCAGTGGTATTTGTATTGCACTTCCAGCTGACTTATGCACTTGGGAGAGTAGATAGCTCTTCACGACAGAAACGCCAAAAGAATCTTTGACATCGAGGAACCCTAAAATTCCGACTGAACCATGGACAAGTGGAGGCCGACCAACGAGCTGGGTAAAGTGTTGACAAGGATCCAACTGAGAAGTGGAAGCCGACCAACGAGCTCTCTACATTGCTGCTCTTTAAACTTTTACCACTCACTTTAAAGTACAATCCAGATAGGACAACGAAAGGGGTTCTTATTAACTGTTTCCTAAAAACATTTGTACTTAGGCCACCGAGCAAAAATCAATGGAAATGGGACCTAGAAAAGGATTAGCTGCCAACAGTTCAGACAAGCTTTGGTAGGAGCAACTATTTTGAATTTCAGAATTTTAAATCAAGACATTAAGGACGACCAGCAGACAAGCAAATTTCCATGGAAAGCTATTCAAAAGAATATACTACAAACCAAAATCACTAATGGAAAAAATACGTATGATGGGCTAAAGAATTTCCATTTCTCAATGCCACAAAAAACCTTTGCTTGATTTGGACTGTTTAACCATGGGCACAAGTCCTCTGCACAAGAAGCTTCACTGTTCCAGACCGAAATAAGTAGCAATAGATCAATTCAATAATTTACAACGCGTATTGGAGTGACTAGAACTTTTATACATCAGTTGAAGATCAACCTCGAAGCGTTCTGTTCTGGAGCTTTTCATACTCTTCCCACATTCCAACGCCAGCATAGACGTTAGACATAAGCACACAAGCCGAGGACAATACACCCATGTTTCCACTGGCCAGCTTCATGACGGCCTCAAACGCAAGCCTCGCAACTCCAACGTTCTTCCACTTGTGTGCGGCCCCCAGCAGCGCCATTCAGATCACAGCATCGGCTCCACAAGGCATGGATTCCACCATCGCCACAGCCTCGCTCAGCCGGTTTGCTCGGCCCAGCAAGTCGACCATGCAAGTGTAGTGCTGGATCCCAGGAACTATCCCGTGCTTAGCACACATCTCCTCGAAGAACTCCTTGCCTCGATCGACCAATCCGGCATGGCTACACGCAGCAAGCAGCGAGAGGTACGTGACATCGCTCGGCCGGACTCGCTGCTCCAGCATTCCCTCCAACGTCTCAAACGCAGCCTGCGCTTGTCCCTGGAAGCTGTAGCCCGCGATGAGAGCGCTCCAGCTCACTAAGCTCTTGCTCGGGATCTTCGTCCATGCTGCCGGATTTGCCATAGAAGTCCACCAGCGAGTTCGCCACCATTCCATCGCTCTCGAATCCTTCGCGACGGATCTTCTCGTGGATCGCTCTTCCAGTTTCCAGTGCCGCCATGCCACCGCAGGCCTTGAGAACCGCCGCGTAAGTGAGGCCGTCGGCCACACAGCCATGACGTTCCTCGCCCTCCATTCGAGAGAAGAGGTCCAAGGCGACCTCTCCCTGCCCGGCGTCCGCGTAGCCACGAATGATCGTCGCCCAGGACACCACGCCTCGCGGCTGCATGGCCTCAAACACCCGGCGGGCATCCTCCAAGCTCCCGCACTTCGCGTACATATCGATCACCGCGTTGTCCACAAAGGTGTCCCGCTTGTGCAGTTTCTCGGCCTGAAAGTGGAGGGCCCCTCTCCAAGCTCTCGACTTTGACGAACTGGTCATCGACGGCGCCGCTCTCTTCCTTCTCTGCCAGAGTAGAGCACGCCTTCAAGGCTGCGAGAAGTGTCACTTGGTTCGTTACACACCCGCCTTTGTCTCGTTGCATTCTCGCAAAGAGGCTCAGTGCTCGCTCGGACTCCCCGGCCAGTGCGTAGCCATGCTCTCAAAGACTTCCAAGCTTCCACCATGCTCCCACACTTCGCGTACAAGTCCAGCAGCGCGTTGGCCACGAAAATGTTCGTCTTGTTCTTCCTCCCGGATTGAGAGTGAAGAGCCCTTCCTCTTTCCAGAGCCTGGAGCTTCACCACCGTCCCATCAACGAGCTCGCCCTCCTCTTTCTCCGCCAAGATCGAGCAGGCCTTGAAAGCAGCGACGAAAGTCACGGCATCCGGCTCGCAGCCTTCGTCTTGCATTCCTTGAAACAACTCCAAGGCCAAGTTGCCTTCTCCGGTATGAGCATATCCGAGACACGTCCACGAGAAAACGTCGCAAAACTCCATAGCTTCAAAAGCCTGTCGAGCTTCGTCCATGCTTCCACACCTGACGTACATGTCCAGGAGAGTGTTTGTAGCGGCCTGGTCGAGCTTGATACCTCTGGCCTGCGCGTGGATCTCTCTTCCTCTTTTCAAACTCCACAACTTTGCGGGTTGGCAATCGATGAGCATGTTGTTGTTAGCCTCGTCCACGATGCACGAGCAAGCTTTGAGAGCGGCAAGAAAAGTAACACGATCTGGCAGAATCCCTTGCATTCGCGAGTATAGTCCAAGCGCGACCTCACCTTCTCCACCTTGAGCATAGCCGAGAATTATAGCCGTCCAAAGAACGGCATCCTTGTGCCGGACGGCCTCGAAGACACGACGCGCATCCTCTAAGCTCCCACACTTCCCATACATATCGACCAGCGACGTCGCCAAAACGATGACATCGGGTTCCAGTTTGCCGCAGCTAGAGTATGAACTTCCCGGCCTTTCTCAAGAGATCTTCGTGTCATGACTTTGCCACCAACGAGGTCGACCTCCTCGTTCTCGGCCCAGCACGAACAAGCCATGAGCGCTGCGAGAAGAGTCACTCGATCTGGCTCACAGTCTTCGTGTTGCATGCGCGAGTAGAACTCGAAAGCCAGCTCTCCTTCTCCGCTCAGTGCGTGTCCGAGAATGATGCAATTCCACGAGACGATGCTGGGACGGGCAATCCTCTCGAAAACATGGCGAGCTTCTTCCAAGCCCCACACTTGGGAATACATGTCGACCAGCGTATTCGCCACAAAGCCGCCCGAGTCACTCCCAGCTTTGGTGGTTCGCCGATGGATCGCCCGGCCCTTCTCGAGTCACTGGAGTCTCACGAGCTTGTTCTCTTGGACGAGCTTGAGTTCTTGACGGCCTTGAGTGCTGCTAAGATCGTGACGCTGTCGGCCTCGCAACCATCTCTCTCCATTCGCGAGTAGAGCTCTAGAGCGATCTCGCCTTGGCCACCTTGAGCATAGCCTGAGATGATCGAATTCCACGACACCACTGTCCGCCGCTCCATGCTCTCGAACACCTGTCTGGTTTCCTCCACGCTACCAGCACCAGGGCCGGAGGCCGAGCATTGGGGCGATTCTCACGGCACTCAAGGCGCGCCGCAGATCCGGCGATGTGAGAAGCGCGAGGAAAATCCACGAGAGCGCGAGGAGGAGTGGAGACGTGTCCAATCCTTTCGTGGCAACTTGCTGGTGGATTTGTACGCAAAATGTGGATTCTCTCGAACGCCGAAAGAGCGTCTCTCGCGCTCTGGTGATCGGGCCGTGCCTGGCCATTCCATTTCTTCTGCGCCGGGGAAATCTCTCGGCTGGAATCCGGATGAGAATCGACGCGGTCGCGGCCGCGGCCATGGATTGGAACCGAACTGCTAGAGAAAATATCATGCCCTAAAATGCTACGAATTCCAGCCGTCCGATAGAAACCCGTGATTTAGGGCTTCTCTAGGGCTTTCCTAGGGCTTTTGGATCAGGCGGCGACGCGATGGTGAGCGGGTCGGGAGCTTGCGCGCGGGTGGTGGTGATCGATGCGCGCCATCACATGCTTGGCCGGCTGGCCTCGATCGCCGCCAAGGAGCTCCTCAACGGACAGCGCCTGGTAGAAAAATCTCGCGATCTTAGAATGCGCTATTGATCTCTTTCCACTGTGTTCCAGGTTATCACGCGATGCGAGGAGATTGCTCTCTCGGGCGGCCTCGTCCGCCAGAAGATGAAGTACCTGAGGTTTCTGAGGAAGCGCATGAACACGAAGCCCAGCAAGGGGCCGATCCATTTTCGTGCTCCTGCCCGCATTCTCTGGAGGACGATCAGAGGGTAAGAGATTTCTTTTGCCTTGGATCTGGAGCACTCTTTTCTTTATGTTTTCCAGTATGATCCCACATAAGACCAAGCGCGGTGCCGCTGCTCTGGAGAGGCTCAAGGTCTTCGAAGGATGCCCACCTCCGTATGACAAGACCAAGAAGATGGTCGTTCCAGACGCTCTCAAGTAAGCCTCCACTTTTTTCTTCTTTCAAGGATGGCTGACGATCGGATCGAAACAGGGTCTTGCGGTTGAAACCCGGGCACAAGTTCTGTCTCCTGGGTCAGTTGTCCAAGGAAGTCGGGTGGCACCACCATGAGACGATCAAGGTGAGTTGTCCTCGTTTCTTTACTCCGGCTGCCCTCCTCAAACACTGGATTTGCAGGAACTCGAGGAGAAGAGGAAGGCGAAGGCTCTTGTGTTCTACCAGAAGAAGAAGGAATTACTCAAGCTGAGGCAAAAGGCGCTCACTGCTGCTGAAGAAAAGCTTCCTGAAGTCAAGGCAGTGCTAGATCCTCTGTCTTACTAGACAAGCTCGCTTCATTTCCTTTTCTCTCGTGTTTGCTAACTAGTTGTGATCCTACGAGTAAAGACCAGAGCAAATTTTGATTCTCCGAGCAAGAAAACTTCGTTTGCGATCCCAAGCTTTCTTTCCACAAGAAATATGAAGTCTCAACTTTGAATATATTGCTTAGCAGCTCACTGCCAACCAAGTTTCCAATCTTACAAGTGAGTGGCACCGAAACACCACGCAAAGGATTCTTCAGTGCGAAAACAGCAAAGTTGTCACCGCTGCTCACTTCCGACTGGTAAACCTCGTCGAAAACCTCACCAATGCGTTTCAACAGCCCACGGTGTGATTCTTCCCCCAGGGGCATCACATTCATCGCCAGCATCCCTCCGGAATCCAGCGCCGATCGAGCGTCGCGCAGGAACTCCCCCTCCGCGAATTCCTCCGGGGGGCAGCTCCTCGATGATCCGTCGCTCACGTCCACCACGATCGCGTGGAAGAAATGCTCCGCCATCTTTTCCTTCTCGGCACCACCACCGTCCTCGAGCCGCGACCTAGCGATGTTCCTCACAGTCTCCACGCCGTCTTCCACATGCACGCGGAGATTCTCGGCGGGGACGAGACCAAAGCGCCGCCTGGCAACGTCCACCACCACCTCGTCCACGTCCACCGCCACCACCTCCATCGCCGCCACCGCCGCGTCCATCCGGGAGCTCAAGAACATTGGCAGAGCTCCGCCTCCAATCCCCACGCACAGCACCCCCGCGGGATCTCCCGCCGCCGAGCACGACTCAAGGCAGCGGCTGATCAAGCTGAAGCCAGCCACGAGCGGGGCCAAGTACGCGTGAACCAGCACCCCGTGATCGATCGAACAGGCCGAGGGAGAGTCCGTTCGATCGAGACCGAGATCAAGATCGCCACCCAGCAGCGGCACCTCGGTCTGTATGAGATTTGGAAGGCTCTTGAAGCGGAGCCTCCTCCGGAGATGGCCACCCTCGAGGCGGACGTCCTCGACGAGCATCATGCCTGTTTTGCGAGAGTAAGCTCGCTCTAGAACCCGAGACCAAACCACATTGTCCTGGTAGCACGCGAATGGAACCTCTTGTATCTCGTCTAGCCCCGCCTTGTTCCTCACAAGCTGGAGGAGAAACGGGCCTAGGAATTTCTTGAGCTCCTCGTCTTCGTCCTCTTCTTCGTCAAGCTCCCATTCATCCAGAGCTGGACCTTCTTCTTCGGATCCAAGCCCTCCCCTGGAGAGGAGAATAAGCGTCGCAACGCCAGATGATGCCAGTAGCTGCTGCTGCCCTGATTTTGACGAAAAGATCCAGTCTAGCTCCCGCCCCTGCGGCACCAGCATCGCAGCGCACTGGGGCTTGGCCGGAGGATCAGCATCAAGCACCACCACTCCAATCTTGCGAGTGGCCACTTCCCATTCCAAGCGCTCCCGCCCTAACATGCTATGAACCCTAATGATGGACTTTAATTTAAAAGGTTACTAATATATTTAATGTGCCTCTAACTCAGTATCATAAGCTCTAGTTTATTATTAACAGGCAAGCCACTCTATTATCATGGTAGTGTTTTATCATGGCAGCTCTCAAGAAAGCAAAATCCTCATTCAAAACACATGAGAGCACTTCTCGTAAAATCTTCTTGTATGTAGATATAGTTTGACTTTTTATCCAGTTTTGTAAGATTACTGAGTGGGAATATTAGGACTGTTGCTATTGTGAAAGACCCAAACTATCTAATTTGCAAGGCATTGCTTCCAGGAAACAGAAAACTTTATATTGTCCAATCAAATATACACAGACATGTTACAATTCTTTAAGGTCCAACCATTAAGAATCTCAACGAAGAATACCAATGAATGCTCTCTCTTGTAGCTATTTCGTGCTGTGAGTTGAGACTGGACCCGCCCAAAGGAGAGATTGAATTTAGTTGCTGCATCATCTGGCTAGGACAGAATCGCTCGTGAGAATCTGCCCAGGCCCTCCCCGAAACTTCACATTTCCCCGCCTTCTTGCCTAGCAGCTTCACCAATGACCCCATCTCCTGTGGGATTCTACGCGCGTCTTCGAGTGGCCAAGAGATTTACGCGGAAAAGATATGAATCGCCAAGAGCAACACAGGGAGAGATCACAAAAGTGTAATGCGCGCGAAGCGATCACGCGCTTTGACGTGATTATCCCGTGGAATATGCCCTTCCCGTTGCCTACGGTGGCCAGTCCAAGTCAAGCCATGGGTTTCCTAGCAACAAGCTAGAAACTCACTTCAGGGCTTTGACCAGTCAGGGGCCCTCCGATCGGCAGAGATCCAACGAACACGGCCAGCACACGTGGACGTGGGCGCAGCTGCATGCATGGATGGCATGCCAGCCATTGGATCCCACAACGACGTCCGTCGGATTGACACCCGACGACCGAGATCATTCTGACCGGGTTAACGCGAATCTTACCCGTCGGAGGGGTCGGACGGTGCAGATCCCCTCTCGTGGGAGAGCCGTCGGATTCCCCGCTGTGGGCGGCCAGGATGTATTTCGCGCGTTGTATTTAACCTGTTAATGGGGCGATGGCGAAGGCTGCTCGTGCACCCGCGCATTCATTCTTGGTCCATGTGGATTGGGTCTGCCGAAACGCTCTCTCTCTCACCTCCAGACATGGCATTGCTTTGTTCTTCCTGTCACTGCCAAGGATTGGCAGATTGAAAGAAGAAGACCCCTCTCTCTTTGTTTGACCACGTGAATCGGCAGCGAGAGAGCGAGCGAGGAATTGGTCCCGTGAAGATCACAAGAGAGCATTCCAATCCCCAATAATTCCATTCGTTTCGCCCTCTTTGCTTCTCGATCGGAGATCGCGCGCGCGCCAGTGATGATGGATGAGGAATCGGAGAACAGCAGCCGATCGTCGCTGCCGTGGCCGGACATGAGCGATTTCGTGATGCGCAAGGGGAATCCAAGGCCACCGCTCACGCCCATCACCTCATTGGTCTCCAGCTTCCTTTGCTCGCCCACGGAAGACCACCATCGCCGCTCGGAGAATAGGGCTCCTCCTCCTTCCATGTCTTCCTCTCCTTCTTCTTCTTCCTCCATAGCTTCTTCCTCCCAACCAGGGCGCTTGCTCTCATCGGCTCCTTCTTCCTCCTCTTCATCGTCGTCCTCATCCTTCGCGGAGCGCCTGGCAGCCAGGAACAATGCCGCCAGCGGAGACAATCCAAATGGGTGCCGATCAATCGATCCAATTTCCACCCCGGCGCGCTCCAACTGCTTCACCATCCCCGCCGGGATCGGCATCAGCCCCTCGAGCTTGCTGCTCGACTCGCCAGTCCTCTTCAGCTCCACCAAGCTCCAGGTCTGTAGACTCACTCTCCCATCAAATTCTTCTTCTAGTTCCCCTTTCCAGTCTTTGGTTCTTGGAGTCGTTTGGAGAGCGCAACTATACAAGCTTTGTCCACTCTCTCCAGTGTTCTTCGTTTTGTTTTCTCTGATGCGTCCAGCCGAGCCGTCTACCGGATTTTCTCATGGGTCTCTAGTTTTAGCGAGCGTTCGTTAGATCGTGCACGAGGAACTTTGACCCGGTCTTCGGTCTCGCTTTCATGGTTTTGCTCGAGAGCATCTTTTGACTGACTGACTGACTGGCTTGGCTGGCTGGCTGGCTATGGATGGAGCCAGAGAGGAAGAGAGCTGCTAAAGAAGATCACACTGTCTCACTCATAAATCTTTCACTCGATCGCTTTCTCCCTTTCTCTTTCCGGCGCGCAACTTAATTGATCTTTGGGCTCGATTTTTTCAGGCATCGTCGCCCACAACCGGGACACTCGTTTCCGCATCGCAGGAAACTAAGATGGATCCATCCATGAACTCAAACTCCAACTCCAGCAACAGTAACTTTGTGTTCAAGCCATTTGCGCAGCAGCAGCAACCTCCGTATTTGGTAAGAGTTCCAGTCAAACAAGTATTCTGTCCTCTGACTTGGCTGGGACTTTCACCAGGACTTTGCGCAGTTCCCGATCCAAATGTCCCAGCAGCACCACCTGGCGATCAAGCAGGAGAGCCAACTCCGCGACTCGACCGCTTTCATGGATCACCACCCGGACCAAAACTCAAACTCCCTCACGCGTTTGATGGCCGAGGGCTTCGATCACAGCGAGCAAGCCTTTGCAAGCTTCAAAGAGCCACAGCATCACCATCAGCAGCTTGAACACATCACGCAGCAGCAGCAGCAGCAGCAGCAGCATCAGCCACTGCAACAACAACAGCAGCAGCAGCAGCAAGAGAACTTTCCAGCTTTTGTGGAGCGGCCATCCGAGGATGGATTCAACTGGAGAAAGTATGGGCAGAAGCAAGTCAAGGGGAGCGAGTTCCCCCGAAGCTACTACAAGTGTACGCACCCGAGCTGCCCCGTGAAGAAGAAGGTGGAGAGATCCTACGACGGCCAAGTCACGGAGATTGTCTACAAAGGCGAGCACTGCCACGCCAAGCCGCAGCTCAGCCGCCGCTCCGCCTGCTCGATCTACAATAACAGCGTGAGCGCGATGAGCTCCACCGCCGGCGCTGCCGTGATCCCCGACGACGCCGCTGGGGAGGATCAGCCGAGGAGCGGCGCCACCCCGCCGCCGGTCGCTGCTGGCTACGAGCACTTGTCTCCATGCTCCAGCTTGGACGACGAGAAGTTTGGCGAGGATGTTTACGACGACGAGGAGAGCGAGTCCAAGAAAAGGTTGGTTTTCCGCGGAAACTTGTTCGTCAGCTAACTTGGTTTTCTTGTTTCTGTCAGGAGAATGGATGGATCGAACCAGGTGACGGCCATCCAGAGAACAATCCGCGAGCCTCGAGTTGTAGTCCAGACGCTGAGCGAGATCGACATTCTCGATGATGGTTACCGCTGGAGAAAGTATGGGCAGAAAGTCGTCAAAGGCAATCCACATCCACGGTAGTGTTTTTTACTTCTTGAGAACCGCGTGACCCTGTTCCGGATTGATCCAAAGAGCTGACTCGTTCCTTGTCTTTTTTATTTTGTTTTGGAACAGGAGCTACTACAAGTGCTCTAGCAGCGGCTGCGCCGTGCGCAAGCACGTCGAACGCGCCTCCAACGATCCAAAGTCTGTTATCACAACTTACGAAGGCAAGCACAACCACGATGTTCCAGCTCCAAAGCACGCCGCCGCTGCCAATAACATCTCCGCTAACAACAGCAGCACCACCACCACCAACAATGGCAGCAACGATCAAACAAGCTTGCTCCAAACTTCGCCATCTCTCCCTCACTTGGGGATGAGATCATCCTCCACTTTACTCCCGCCGCTACCTCTGGATCAACAAAACCACCACCACCACCACCACCAACACTCGCAGCAACAGGCGATGAACCAGCACTTCCACCAGTTTAACGCCTCGTTTGGGAGCCTGGGCTCGCCATCGTCGTGCGTGACGAACATGTTCTCGATGAACCGGGAGCTACCACCGGCGGCTCCGTCGTTTAACTTCGGCAGTAGCGCTAGCTCTAGTGAAAACTTCGGCTCGGGGTTTTACCACACAAGCCCGGCCCAAGATCTAAGCAGCATGGTCATGTCGAGACCGCCAAAGCTGGAGCAGCAAGAACCCGATCTCGACTTGGTTCACCAGCCGTTCCAGGGATTCCTAGCTTCGCCTGGTTCCATTCCATATCTACAAGTCTAGTATACGAAAAAAAAAGAGAGAATCTTCAGAACTATCTATGTACATACAAAAGGTAAAAAACGAAAAACAATAAGAAAGCTCGAAACCCTGCATGGCACTTAAATGCGTAAAAGATGGTACCACTTTGTTCATCAATGCGGATTCCCATCTCTCTTGTTTTTTTTTTTTTCGTTTCCTGTAGTGTTGGTGTTGTTGGTACCTGGCCTGGGAGTTTGTGGTTTGGACTCCCTGGTCAAAGTTCTATCTCTGGAACATTAGCGGCATTTCTTCTAGTTCCATGGAAGGATCGAACGGTCAGTCAACCAGGCCAAAGAGGATCAAACACCATTAACTCGCTCTGATAAGCAAAGCCGCAATCCAAGGATCTTCCAAACTCGCTAGTGCGTGCTACAGACAACGAGAAGGCTGACGAGAAAAGAGTCAAAGAAAAGAATGAATTGAAGCAAGCAAAAAGAGGTCTGAGAAAAGGGAAAGAAATTCACTAGTGCTAGCCACTACTGGCAAGCGATAAGAGAATATATCCCCGCCTCCACGGGCCTGCGGTACGGGCGCCCTGTACGTAACGAGAAAGATCAAAATTTTCCTCGTTTTGTAGTAGCAGTGTTGTTGACCCCGGGAAGAAAAAAGTTGAACTTAAGACCCCACCTTCCAAATCCCAAAGGCGCCTCCAATCCAGTCTAGCCATCCACTCACTTCTTAAAACAGATTAGAGCAAAGCAGGAACTCTTCACAATAATGAATGAATTACAATGGAAAGGAAAAAGATGGAAAAACTTTATAGTTGGGTTTCAGGTACATGTTTGACTGCCTCTTTCTGGCTTGCTGGTTTCAGTCAAAGCTGGACATGTGTCTTTAACCCTTGAAACTTTGTGCAAAGACAATTGCCACCTTTTTCAATTCTTATAATTTAAGTACGTGCGGCCCTGACTGATCCTACAGAACATTCTTCCAGCCGGTCAATGGAAGTCCTCCCGGTCAAACTAATCCTTTGTAAGTACTTAGCCGAAAAGCAAAAGCAAAAGCAAGCAAGCCACTTCGACTTCCATGCACCCCTTCTCTTTTTTTTCGTTGTTGTTTCTCCCAAATGATTGTGACAGGGCACTACGCACGTAAGCATAGCGCTTGGTGATGTAGCGGCGGAGGGACAGTCTTCGCATAGCCTATGATCATCCTTTTCTTTTGATTCCTCCGACTTCCAAGCCATGACCGCTGACACTTCTCGCGGCAAACAAGCGCTGTAGAACAAGTGCTAAACGTCGTAAGTAAGCGGGAGGGGATTCGTGAGAATCCACTCCCCTAAAGCAGCAAAATCCTTTTGTACCGTTTTGACGATCGTTCCCGATTCGAGCAGCTCGCCTTGTCGGGGACTGCCTGTACAAGAAAAAAAAGATGCTCCACAATACCGACCTTGACAGGCCCTGTAGCTCCAACAGCAGGAAAATTCCCTTCGCGTCGCTGCGATTTACTGCCAACAAGCACGAATCAAGTCAGTCAAGGCAAGAGAAAAAGAAGAAAAACGAACAAAGGAGACACTCACGCACGATGATGACATTGGTATCGTCCTCTCCGGTACGTGCATGCCCGGCCTACAGCTGCAAAAACAAACCATCAAGCAAACATCTTAACGTCTTGGTCAGCCAAGGACAAGCACGGACAAGCTAGACACCCAAAAGATAAGAATGATAAGCCTTGTCTCCTTCCCTCCCAGACAACCTTTCACGACCTCGCTATCCTATCGGCCTGTTCTTCGAGTCCCCCGTTGGTACTGATGCGTGCGATCTCTCTATTCTCTGTTCTTCTAATTTGAGTAGCAATCTAGCCTCTGAATCCATTGTACAGACACCAGCCTAAAAGCGTTCCCGTCCGTCCCCCATGTACAGCAGCACCATCACCAGTCCTCCAAAAACCTTTTTTTCCTGTTCAGCAGCTTCCACCGCTCGCCGGCTCTATGGAGCTCAACAGGCCATTGGCTCTGAGCTGCGTGCAGTGCTCTTCCGCGTCCTCCTGGGAGCAAACTATGACTACGGACAGCCCGTTGTGGTGCGCTTCTTGCATTATGTTCACCGCGTTGTCCAGAGTCATCCCCGGGATCACCTTCATCAGCACCTGGACGACGTACTCCCGCCGGTTGAAGTTGTCGTTGTGGAGAATGACCCGGTAGGGAGGAGCCATCTTCTTCTTCTTCCTGGAGTTCGAAAGCAGTAAGGTCACTCACGTCCGGCTCAAAGTTCGTGAAAACTTTCCGCTTACCGGAGGTCGAACTCTGATTCACGGCCTGGGGTCGGGGCCGTTTCAATCGCAGGCTTGTCGAGAACGCCACCACCGAGGCCACCGGGTAAGGCTGCACGGACTGCATGGCTCGCAATTATCCTCGTGAAGCATTTGTGACACTTATCTGCCTCTGGTTCATGGAAAACAGATGAGCGGTCGAGGACCAACGAGGAAATAGCAACCTTACCAGCAAAGATTGTGTTGAATCTCGATACTTGTGAAGTAGAGGGCCACAAATGCGCTACCTGAGTAAGAGTACAAGCCATAGTTCTCTGCTCAAAAAACAAAGAAAACAAAAAAAATACAAACAAATCTTCAGTCAGTGACTCTTGCTCAAACAATCGAACACTGTTCCTAAGCTGCTGAGACCTAATCTGTGATGGAATGCGTCGTTTCAGCTCGGCTCGCTAGAGAGCATAGCTCCAAACATGTTCCAAAGCAGCTCTAAGAGCTTAAACCAGACTACCACACACACACTTTACCTGGAGCTATGGCGCAGGAGCGCCGTTGTCCCAGACACCACAAAATAATGTCACGACGTCAAAATGGCTGGAATTGAACCACGGACCGCTTGACACTGAAGAAAAAAGAAAAAAAAAAAGTAGTTTCAGTTGCAAAATTTTGTCTTACTTCGAGAGGACGACCGAAAACCTGCACAATTTCGGTATATAAGTCCTCGAGCAACAACAAAAAAAAAAAACAAGCCGAAGAACTGCATCGAAAAACCGTCACAGGAGACTTGCGTTGGAGTGTGGAGCGTGCTCGGTTGATGGACCAGCGCCCTCTGGCTTGAGCCTTTTCAACACTCCCGGAGACCCACGAGCACCACCACCTTCCATGGCGTCCACCTCCGAATCCACCTCCTCGAGCTCCCTGTGAGGAAAGTTCTGTGGCTCCAGGCCTCCCAGAGCACTCGGCTGCTGCCGATTCCTCCTCCTCGTCCTGGCCTTTCGGTTCTGGAACCAGTTGTAAACGTTGGACTCGTTCACCGGCCCAAGCTGGCTGAGCTCCGCCGTGATCTCTCGCACTCGCTGCTTGTGTGGCGTCCCCATTCCAACGTCGTAGAGGCTCTCGAGGAGCTTGACCTGGGCCTGGCTGGGCGCCCACCTCTGGCGAGTGGTGGCTTTCACGGGCGGCGGTAGCGGCGATGGCGGCGGTGGTCTAGAGCTAGAAGTTCCTGTCCATCATATAAACTTTGTCCTTAGTTCTCTTTCGTTCTAAGCTAAGCGAAAAGGAAAAAAAAATGGTACCTATAAGACCATACCGTTGGGATTCGCCATTGACGCCTTGTGCATCTCCACCAGCTGCTGGCAGATCGTGGCGTAGACGGCGATCTGGCGCCGCAATTCGTCCAGCTGCTGGGCGCTCATCACGATCCCAAAATCCGGATGGTATTCCGGCCGATCCAGCGCCGAGCGGAGGAGGATTTCATCCGCATTTGGCGGCTCGCGCTTCACCGGGGATTTCTCCTCCGCCTTGGCTCGCAGCCTCTTACTGTACCTGGGATTCTCCTGTCGATCCATCGATCGGCGTAACCCTATTTCCTGCCGCGGCTTGGTACCGCGCCCTGGGAACGCATCCGGGAAATGAAAGAGATTTCTTGCAAGAACAGGAAAGAGGAGGGGAAGAGAAAGAGGGATTCTTTAGAGTGCACCGGCTACGAGGACACGGCGAGCGGCGCCGCCAGGGTGCCGCCGCGCGGCAACGCGACGATCCATCCATCCTTCATTGGCGACGAACAAATCAAAGAACGCAGCGTCATCGTCATCGCGGCGACGTGCCTTCCTTCGCCATTATATTTTTTATTCTCGTCAACGCTCGGAATCGAACGTTGGATAGGTAGCTGAGATGACTCTTCTTCTTCTTCTTCCTCTTTGATCGATCATCCATTTCGATGCTCCAGGAGTGTGATCGCCGCCAGGAATTCCTCCACCGCCTCCGCGACTGCCGATCCCTCTCGCGAGCCCGGTGCTTGCACTCGTGCGTCGCCGCCAGCCGCGACACATTCCTCCTCAACAAGCTCATTGAGATGTATGGCAACTGCGGCGATCCGGCTCGCGCGCGCGAGGTGTTTGATCGCGTGGCGCCCAGGGATCGCTACACCTGGGATCTCATGCTCATCGCCTATGCCCAAGCGCGGCATTTGGAGGCGGCGCGGCGTTTCTTCGACTCGATGCCACAGCACAGCCTCGCCTCCGCCACAGCGATGCTTCGATTGGCGGCGGAAGAAGGATATTCGCACCATGCCAGCCGGATTTTCTCGGAGATGCCATACTTTGACGTGATTTGCTGCAATGCAATGCTCTATGTGTATTCCCAGTCAGGGCAATCTGACCTTGCTAAGAGTTTACTTCATGAGATGCCAGAGCATGATCTAATGTCCTGGACCGCTATTTTACTTTCTTACGCCCAATTTAATAATTTTAACGAAGCAAAGTTTATTTTTGATACAATGCCATGCCGTGATCTTTTTTGCTGGAACATCATACTTAACGCAAATGCCCGTTTAGGAGAACTGCATGAAACTGAGAACCTTTTTAATATCATTCCGCAAAGAGACCTGTTTACTTTTACGGCAGTAATAGTAGCGTACGTACGTCACAAGAAGCTTGAGAACGCTAGGCTTGTTTATAACCAAATGCCATACGTTACTACGGTGACTTGTAACACTATCCTTGGAGGATATGCCGAGAACGGGTATCTGGACGAAGCAAGACAATGGTTTAACTCCATGCAAAAAAAATGCTTGACGTCTTATAACATAATGTTAGCAGCGTACGCACAACATGGATTAGTGTTTGATAGTACGTCGTTTTTCATGGAAATGCCTGACCGTGACCAGCGCTCCTGGAATCTGATGCTTCAGGCATATGCCCAGCTTGGGCATCTGGGAAAGGCAAAATCTTTGTTCCGCGCAATGCCGGAGAGCTCCATCGTGTCGTGGAGCTCAATGCTGGCAGCCGTCTCCTCGTCCTTCTCATCCCAAAATAAGCATGAAGATCGATGTGATGGTGCTAACGATCCATTCTTTCTCTTTCATTCAGCAAACATGGAGCATCATCCCGACCATGTTTGCTTCCTGTCGATTCTGAGCGTTTGCAGCAAGAAGGGACGAGTGAAGCAGGGCCGGACTTTCCTGGCATCAATGAGCTTTGACTATGGAGTGGAGCCTCGCAGGCACCACTACTCGAGCATGGTTGATCTCTTGGGCCGCTCTGGCTATCTCGGCGACGCCCTGGAACTGTTGCGTACCATGCCCTTTATTGCCAAGGCTCTGGACTGGGTGTGCTTTGCCGCTGCCTGCAGAAGCCACACAGATTTTAAGCTTGGAGCTGAGGTGGGTTCCCAAATTCTTGGAAGACAACCCGGCAGTGGCGCGGTGGTATTGCTTGCCAACAGTTGGGTGGAACATTTATAATTAAATGTGTCCCTGCTCTTGCATTCCTGATGCCTCTGAGGTGATATCGATGCAGTGTCTTAGTCCAATCATATAGTTCAATGTGATAGAGTATGTAAGCCAAAATTGTATTGTACAAAGTTCTAGTTCTAGTTAGTTATAGACTTAAGCCCATATTCAATTAGAGAAGTTTTTTGGCTGGTTATGTAATCCTAGCCAATCAAATGTCTTAATGTATAGTAGTATAGCAATCTTTAACTAAAAAATGTGTAAATCCTATAATGGCTTGCAAATGGGGCTAAGTAAGATGAAGGATGTACTCATGGATATTTATTATATATGATTTCAGTTTAATATTATATTTTAAATACATTATAATACAACATAATTACCATTATATTACTTGTACATTACTTATGCCATTTTCTTTTATACCTTTCTCAATTAGAAAAGGGTAATTTCTTAATAAGAGAGTCTTTAATGGCTATTTTATCCTTTCGAGTTCCAAGAATTCATAGTGATAATATATTCAAATTTCATCCCATAATCACATACACTATAACTACCTTTGACAAAAAAACTATATCATTAATTTTTTTCCAAGCTAGCAAAATTCCTATTACACCAATAGTTCCAGGTGTTGGTACTTTAATGGTTCCAAGTATGATAGACTTTAGGAATATACAATTAGTCTAGAGACTTCTATTACTCAAATATATTAATACACTAATAGATATATAGTATTTTTTAGCATATTTTGCCACTAGTTTCTTTTGTTTAGACTAAGCATATGACAACAAAGGACTCATCATGACTAAGTTAGTAGTCACAATGGTCCTAAATGAAATATCAAAGGCAACCTTCAAGACTCTTAAGCATTTATATTTACAAACTTAATCCAAGTTGATTATGTTAAAGCTGACACCTCTTCCCATGATGGTGTTTCTAATATATGGATCTTTTCTCTTAGTTTGATTCTAATTTAGTCACTACAACTAGATGTTGCATATAATCATAATATTATACAACACTTTCTGGAATGAGGTTTCTAATCCAGCAAAGAGGACTTCACAAAGGTATTAATTATCCAATGATCCTTACAAGCACTACATGCTAAATTCACAAAAGGTGCTAGTTATCTACCTCTATAATCCTTACAAGCACTATATGCCTAATGACATAACTAGAGGATGAGAATAAGGTGTTAACTTAATAGTACGTAATGTATTATTAGGTATTGAACTCCCTACCTCTTGAGTAATAGAAGTGAATTTAAATAGAAAATGCTACAATAATCAGGATGAAATTTAATCATATTTTAAATTTGATATTATAGCATATGTGGTTTTTAGCTTATACCCTATGGTAAATTATTATAAGATAACTATGGAGTGAAACCTAACTCTTGAACATGTGTGCCAAGGGCAATAGAGTGGGATTCAAGTTTTAGGGCTTTATATAATGAAAGGATAGAGCTAAACTCTCAAGCATATAATTAAAGAGTGAAAAAATTGTAACATAAAACAACTCCTAAATATACAACTAAGGAGTGAAGGAGTAGAAGTATAAAGCAACTTTCAAACATATAGCCAAGGAGTGAAAGAACAGGAACATGGAGTAATATTAGATTAATTTTAGAGCATCTAGTATCCCAACACTTTGAACTTTTAATCCTAGAATTTACTTAATCAGTATTTTATTATAAGACTAGCAAGTAAAATAAAGCCAAATAAAGACTAATGTTATTTTAGCGTATTAATGGCTTAATACGAGAGTATGGGTTTCCCACCAACTAACATGGTATGGAATTTAGGCTTAGGCCTAAGGCAAATGCAAAACAAGAACAAATATTGGGGAGCTATAAAATGTCTCAAGTTGGTAGGCCATATTTGATTTACTCACTATCTCTATTATACATTTGAAACCCCTTATAACCCTCAATTGTGTTTAAAATAATCTCTACATTCTATAGATATGTTTCTAAACATATTCTATAAATATTTAATAAGACTGAAATACGACCAACATGTAAGGTATGATAGTGAGAGTATTTAGCAAATATAGTAATCTATTATATAGCAATATTGAGAGACTAATGCTTAATATGCTAGGGTTCTTGTTATGTCAAAGTTAGGTTGAATATGCTTAGCAAGAAATATATAGGAGTTTTTACTTTATGTTTATTTAGCTAAGTACAAATGCTAAACTTAATTTACTACAATTGAACAAGAGGGACTAACAAAAGGAATTAACAATATTAATCTTTTGTTATCATAGTAGTAGAAAAGAATATTTGAAAGGACTCATTAATCTGTAACTTTTGATATTTATAATCACATTCACAACATGCTCCCCCCCTTGAAAAGATTAATATCTTCATTGATGCATGCTCTATCTAACATCCCAATATTATGACTAATATGTAAATAAAGGTAAATGAAATTTAGTGTTATTTTAACATATTAGTGGCCTAACACAAGGATATACATACTCCATTAGCTAGCATGGTATCAAGCTTGGGTTTAGTGATCTTATAGTTGATTAATTAAAAACAGACTCATTATTGTGTTAAAGAACAAATGTAAGCTTATGAATTTAAACTTCCCAAGAGGTCATCCAACCCTCAGTACTATTTAAATCTAGAAACATTTAACCCCAAGTATCCCAAGAACTTTAACTAATTAAAAAGAAAGGGATGCACTTTTATTTATAAGCCTTTTCACTTTATATTTGAACCCTTATGAATTGTTAATCCTCTCCCAAGAGCCCTGCTCTTTTGATAAGTTGAGCCCAACCAAAGGTAAATTTGACCTACCAGATATCAATTTTAAGATGTGGTATGATTCTTTTAACCAATTAATAGAGTTTGACCCCCTACCCCTCGAGTTGAGCGCAACTAAAAGAAAAATATATGTACAAAATATCAATCCGTGTAATTCGTCTAACCAACCAATAAAGTCATATTCAAAACCTCTTTAATACCAAATGTAAATTCTTGAATTTGGACATCCCAAGAAGTTATTTAACCCAATACTATTCAAGCCAAAGGACGTTCAATCCTAAGTATCCTAAGACCTTTTAACCAATTGGAAAAAGAGGTGCACAATTATTCATAGGACATTTTTCTTTATATTTAAACCCTTATAAATCATCTTTCAAATTGTTCTCTTTAATTTGTTACAACAATATTCTTAGTTCAAAGAAATGGTTTGAACAAGTGGTATGGTGTGATTTGGTTAAAAAGACCAAGTGGAAAAGACATTTAGGTGAAATGATATGTAAAATACAATGGTATTGTAAGACCAAGAAAGTAATTTCCAAAAAAGACTATAGCGGATCTAAATTTGGAGTTGAACTCCAAGTTAATTCTATTA